CTTTGTACGATTACAGTATTGTTACGTAAAACTTTTTTTTTAGGAAAACGGACAAAAATTCATGCACATACAAATGTCATCCATATTATCAAATCAACATGGCATTATAATACAATACAGACACTGCTTTGGTGAATGCACACACCATCATTTAACCTTCTCCCTGCTGATGTAGCCTTTTCCCACCAAATTTATATTGGAGTTAGTTACAAATGTAGCAGGGAGAAGGTTAAGGTCTAACCAAGTAGTGCGTTGAATGCAACTTCTGTGGTTTAACTGAATGCCTAGGTCTGTCCCAGCATTGTCTCATGCACTTTGCATAGCACCATCTAAAATCTTGTACTGTATAATAAAAAAAAACTATAGGAAGCATAATAGCCCTAACTCACGATCCGTGTGCTGGATTGGTTTTGATGTTTTGATAAAACTGCACAAATCTTACCACACATGGTGATAATCTTTATTAGTTGATTACATATTTTTAAACTTAGCACTATATTATATTATATTATCTATCATAGATATTGTGGCTAAAAGTTTGATTGCTAACTTTAACAATACTACAAGTACCTTCAAATTAACTGATGATTTGTTGTAAGAAAGGAAATTTGTTTGTATTAAGATTTCTTTGTTTAGACTTTTGTTTTCTTCATCTAGGTGCAAGCTAAACAGGCTGGCCACGAGGTCCCCCCATCGTCCTCGGAAACGGAGGAACGGTAGCATACGCGGTACGCCGTACGGTAGCGTACGCCGCCATTTGCCACGACTGTTTTGGTACCATTTGTGTATAGTTCTGTACATATGTGTATTTCCTTCACAGACCAGAACACTGCTATATTTTAGGTCTGTCTCCTCGATTCTACTTTTCCTTTGGAAAATTCTGATTTGTACATTCCAAAATGGAGTTTTAGATGTTTTCTTAGGTTTTAAAGAGATCTTAGCGTAGATTTGCTTGTGATTTTGAACAAGTTTGCTGTATTTTCCTCACATGTTAATGTTTTAGTGTTGCTTTTTATAAATTACACACTGCACACTTTTAAGATTGTACATAGTGAAATTTGCTTTACTTTGTGTGTGTAGAAGTATGTACAATGTGATTGCATCTTTACTGTGAAATTGGAACTCCCCTCACTCTAGTTTTAATTCATTTTGCAACATCTCATTCACACCATGGTTTGGCTGCAGTACTAATATCTCTCACTAGATGGCACTGTAACCCCAACTCATAAACAACCACTCCACAAACAATAATATATCTTGAGGAATGCTTTCTGAGAAGTCATCATTCCAACCTACTCTTTCTAACTAAATGTCTGCATGGAGAATGACATGTATTTTATACAAATGTTGAATCTTAACTTTTTTAGAAACAAGAAGGCAAAATGGTCACTAAGCCTAACTCTACAACTTGTGCAACAATCTGCTAGAAGAAACTAAACTATAGTACAAGCCATATGATAAAGAAAACTTGTTGACAGCAAGATTTTCTTCTTGACTAGAAAGTACTGGTACCAAAAAAGCTTTATTCCTCCTACTCATATGTAAGGTAAGCAATATATACATCTTGGAACTAAAGGGTGAGGTATTTTTCAAATCAGACCATCTGGAGCCAAATCAGCCAATCGTGAAAGGCCTTTCATCAGAAGCAGTGCAGTCCCCAGTAGAACTATACTGATTGGTGGAAGGTTTTACCTGCCATCCAATGGGAATCGTTTCCTGCATCTTTGGTCACAAAACTGTGACAATCTGTAGTTCTTATGACGTAGTTTTATCTGTAGGATTAAGTGAAGAAAATGCCCAAACTCTTACTGATAACTTTTCAAGTTTGTTTCAATTCATACCTACAATGTTATCACATATGTTATGTAATTTAATACCTTTTTAGTATCGTTAATCATCAAAAGTCTATTACTTACTGTAATAAAAGTTATCTTAACTTCAGTTATAAAAGTAATGACTTTGATATCCCAAAACTCAAATTTCTTCAGGGCAGTGTAACATACTTGTATAAGAATTAATATGTAATGTGTAAATATAACCATTCCTTATATGATATTTCTGTTTTGACAGAAGTGACGAATTTTCCAAGACTTTTGACACATGTGACACAGTTTTTCCAAGACTTTTGGCACAGGGGACACATTTTTCCAAGACTTTTCAAGTGACTCAGTTTTCCAAGACTTTCGACAGAAGTGACACATTTTTCCTAGACTTTTGATACAAGTGACAGTTTTCCAAGACTTTTGACTGAAGTGACATTTTTTTCTGAGATTTAAGTCTTTTGACACAAGTTACGCATTTTTTCCTAGACTTTTCACAGAAGTGACACATTTTTTGAAAGATTTTTGACAAAAGTGACACAATTTTCCAAGACTTTTGACGTGACACAGTTTTCCAAGACTTTTGACACAAGTGACACATGTTTTTCCAAGATGTTTGACAGAAATAACAAATTTACCAAGACTTCAAAAGATGCTTGCAAGTGCCAGTCATATGTCTACATGTTATTCTGATAGAATCATTCACTTTTAGAGCTCCGAATCAAGTTGACTTCAAACTGTTACATGTTGTGTTTGGTTTGAAGACAACCTGTTTCAGTGCCACATTAAAAGTGAATCTTTCCACATACTTCAATACTTTTTGGTAAAAACATTTGACTATGTGTGTTTTACCAGATTTTTGTAATGTTTTTTTCTTGTTAGATTGTTTGGATTCTCCAAAAACATTCAAATCAGAGCAAACTTGCATGCAGATCTGTATGAAATCTAAAACAACAGGAAATTCATATGGAAACAGGTAAAAGTAACAGCACAAATATGATTTGCAATGGCGAGCATCTTACGTAGATCTACTATAAGTATGAATTGAGACAAACTTGGGAGGTACACTGTATAGGACTTTGGGCATATTGTGTACGGTGGCCCAACATTGCTTTTTGCATAATGTTAACTTTCATGATTTTTTTAGCGTCGCTCTTTTTGTATGCTCTTCAAAGTTAGTGTAAGTACTATATACTAAATTAAATGCTTTTAAATTTTAAGATGAATGCACACAGATTCTATAAATATTGATATATTCATCTTAATATTTGTAATATTACAATGCTGGCATCTCATAATACATGTAGCTTGATAACAGGAGATCAGAATGTTCAGTTATAGTGCTTCTATGTGCACCAGTTCATAAAACATTTTTTTGTTAAACCACGGTGCCATTTGCCAACGCATGTTACATCTGCATGTTAATATGCATTTTTGCTTACAGTTTTTCATTTTGCATGACGATGCCAGGCATTCTTGCAGTCTAACATTATGTTGGGACACCTACACACTCAGCTTAATCGTACAGAAAAAACGGGTCGTAACGAAACCACTACTGTTACAGTTTAGTGACTGAAAATATCAGGAAACTTTTCCCAATGTGTGGCACGTAACACTTTCCATTTAATCAGTATAGTTGTACAGGGGACTGCACTGTTACTGGTGAACAATATCGCCATTGAATAGCAAAGTTCTTTCTTCACAAACACTTGTTTAACAAGGTCCGACGTTTCGATGACCGTCTGTCATCTTCATCAGTGAACCAGTCATAATTGATAATTGTCTGATGAAGATGACAGACAGTCATCGAAACATTGGCTCTTGTTAAACAATATGATGTAAATAAAGAACTTTGCTATTCAATCATTCACCAACCTAATGAAATTATATACGGATGAATTTTGGCATTGCTAGAAAATTCCTACAAAGGTCTGTGTACGAAGGATACCTTTCACCCACTGTAACTTTGCGGAAGTTTTTAAGAAAACATAACATCGGTCAGTAACAGCCTCATCTTGCCTACTGGTAACTATGCAAAGCCACGGCAAAGAACACTCTTTGCAATAAACTTTTTATAATGTCCCAAAATGACCTGTACACAAGTGAATGGAACAGCTATTTGTAACAGTGGAGAAACTTGATTATTTAGTGGAAATTACATAGCCAATACCAGCTGATGAAGTGACTGGTTAAGGTACCTATGAGAGGGACAATTTCATTGTGTTGTGTAGTTTGAATTTGTGTTGTGTTTTAAGTGATATTTAAATGTCTACAAAGCATTGCCAATACAGCCACTATATACAATGATTCAGTTGATGTGACACTACTACAGTTATAAAACTGTTACATTGTTTTGTATACTTGTACTTTGGTTACCTGTCATGTTTATGTATGTAACATTATGTGATGTGTTGTAGTTTGTACCACTATAAGTTTGTGATTTTATGTAATAAGAAGTGCTGTTTCAGTACATTTTTGTGATTTTATGTAATAAGAAGTGCTGTTTCAGTACATTTTGTACTGCATGTTTGTGATATTCTAAGATATAAAGTGGTAAACGTATAACCTACACCCTCAAGTACAACTGTCCAAATGTTGCAACATGTTCCATGCTTTGGAGACCTCTACAGAACAACTTGTACATGAAATATACTAACCTCCACACAAGATGTAAGATAACTTTTTTTGGATGTAAACTAAAATGTAATTTGAAATGACAATGTATCACAGAAAAAGACCTTGCCTGCATGTGGAAAAGTACCTATTGTATTGTAACAATGCTTCATTGCTCACATGGTAAACGATATCTCTACATGAACGGACAGAGAACCGAGGATGCTAGTTTTGTATTTTCTAAACCAACGTGCCTTGTACAGTTTTGATTGGTCAACCCTACCCCCATACTTAATGTACAGACCTGTCTTTGGAAATACAGCAATAGAAATATTTTTCAAACTGTTGTTGTCTCTCAATTTTTTGCTGTTGTGGATCTTTTTCATCATAGGTCGACAAAGTTAGAATTTGTAGTAAAATATTTATTTTATTCACATGTATTTACAGAAGAGGCAACTGATTAATGTGTGATCCTCTCATCATTACAATCATCGATCAGTTCAACCAATGATAGCATGGTAATTAGTGGATCGACCAATGAGAGGGTGGCTACAGGTGCACTGATCCTGTCAAACACAATTATCACTTCAGCCAATGATAGCATGGCAATTATCGGCTCGACCAATGAGCTGTATGTCCGTCAAATATTTGCATAGTCGTGCACCTGCTTAGTGAATGGGATGGGCAGTGCTGAACAAGGATGGCGCTTAGGTCATGTAAGTCATCTTTAAAAATCTATCTGTACAATTGACTGAACAAAGTTTTGATCAACTGCATGGTGGAAAAGACTTCTGGAAATTCACCACACGAGAACAGACATTCTTATAATGCTCAAATGCAGGCGGAACCATTTTAAACTTGACAACATAGGCCAAGCATTCGCTATCACTGCAGCAAAGATAGAAGAAGAACACGTATAGAGCGAGTAATACATTCAGTATCACGACCAGTATAAACGGAATGGTTATGATGAGTAGGACAACCGCTTTCATGAGTTGAATCAAGCAGTACAGCAAGGATAGGAAGATGGTAGAAAATATTTGGCAGCATGCATTTTTGTGTTCGTTTTGAATTGTGTCTACAGATGGACTTCTGTCGACATTTCCGTGTTGGTACGACTCGTCTAGGTCGTTTCGGTCTTCTGTATCTGTATAGCCGGTATAACCGTCTTCAATCATCTTTAGGTTATTGAAGACTTCGCTAGCAGTGGGCCTGTTCTTGTAATCTGGGTCTATCATGGTGAAGACAAGGTTTCGGCGCTGTGGATCGTTTCTCATGACTTCATTATGATCAACGCTTCCTCCTCGCGCCAAAACTTGACCTATGGGCTCGGAATAATTATAACCTGCACCCGTCGGACTTTTCACAAAAGGGGCTAGATAGGGCTCCAGGTCGGTATTGCTACAAGCATTGAGATTATCAAACATAGCCCAAAACAAAAGCCCCATGGAAAATACGTCAACCGCCGTAGTCCAGTTTTGACCGGCGCTCAGGACTTCGGGGGCGACATAGAAAAGTGTTCCCCCAAGGGACCCGGAAAAGTAGTCGTGTACTTTAGTAGGATCTAAACGTGAACACACGGTAGCAAGGCCGAAGTCCACCACCTTTAGAATGGGGAAATCAGTGCCGTCTTTTATCATTAAGTTCTGCGGTTTGAGATCCCTGTGGACGATGTGCTGATCGTGTAGGAACGCTACGGCGTCGGCCAACTGGAAGGCCAGTTGTCGTTTGGCGGGAACATCTCTCGGATTGCGGAAAACGTAGTCACCAAGAGTCCCACCATCGCAAAATTCAAGAAAAAGCCAAATGCAATTATGAGAGGGGGTATAGAGTACCTTATGCTCTATAAATTTTGCGATATGTTGGTGAGGTTTAAGGTTTTCCAAGATGTTGAGTTCTTTGATGGCTCCAGTCATTTGGTAGTCCGATTCTGCAGACAGTTTTTTGGCAGCACAGATTCTGACAGGATCTTGGTATATAGAGTAGGCCTTGTGGACTTGACCAAAAGCTCCCCTCCCCAGTTGCTCTCCAACCACGTAGTCACCGACCTATATATGGTGAGATGTTAGGTTTATATAAATAAACAGCTTCAATGTTAACAATCTATTATAGTTTTATAATATTAAGTTTATATAGATCAGCGGCTTTAATTTTATCGATGTATTTGAGTATTTTAAAATACTGATTAAGGAGTGTACAATTACAAATCACGGAGACTGAAAATATTATTTTAATATTTCAAATGGTCAGATAAAAGTATAACAAATAACCTTGAAGGTAGACACTGAAGAATGCATGTTGATGTATTTTATGCTGTTGGACAGGTGTCGACAGTTGTTGTTTCTGTAAATAAATCATAAACTTAAGCATAAACAGTTTGTTGTTTCTGTGAATAAATCACATGACTTAGATCTTCTATTATGGCATCGTGTTTGGTGTTTGATTACAAATGTATGGCCCTTGATTTCTAATTCTCCAAGTATGTGACCTTATTGCACGACGATAATTTATGCCAAATTTTATGACGTCATGGTGACGTAATCAAAAATTACAGGGCACGCCCATTTCTACAAGCTCATCCACCGCGTTTTGAGAGAGGGAGTAGTTTAACTACAATATGTTCTTTTGTAATTATGTTGCCTGACTAATCTTTTCTGTCGAATTGATATATGGGGGCAGTACTGTACAACAACCTTTGTCCACAACCACTTGTTCGACAAGGCCTTTGCCATTCAATCATTCAACAACGGTATGAAATTATTTACGGAACTGTACGTTGTATACCATTGCTGGTTTTAGGACCAGAAATATTCCCGCAGATTCGAATTCTAAGCCGTATTAACTCTGTGCTACCTTCAGGCATACAGTGAAAACTGAGCCAACACATTTCAGTCAGTTATTATCCATACCGAAAGCAACTGTTCGTTAATCAGGAAGTCAGTTCAAATGTCAACATCTTGTACACGGTAGTTGCAACACAGGTTGTCAGCAAATTTCATAATGTTTCACAATCACACAAAAATACCTTTCGACACGAAATGTTCTCCAAAAAAGACGGTGGTGGATTCTCGCTTGCAAAACTCTGTTATCACTGAATCTTTCAAGTCTCGTGATGTTTTTCACAGTGTGTTACACATACCTGCACAAAGGTTGGATACGGTTCAGGGATCGCCAACTGTCAACAACACCAGAACGTACTGTCGAACAATATTGACTTGAAGATATGAACTTTGTAGCTAGTTAACGTTACTGTAACAGTGTTGTAACTCCCATGGACTTTGGAGTGACTGCATATGACTACATGTGTAGTCTCTACCAGACTAACTACGCTGACAATATATAGGAGAATAATTGCCAGGGGAGTTTGGTCGCCTTGTAGGTTTGACTGGCCTTCGGAGGGAAAGAAACTACCGCGCCGGACTCCCTTGGCCAATTTTACTCTTTTTTGCCGAATTCTACGATCCGTATTCCCGTAGAAATGCCTGGTGGAGGCTACTACATATGGGCAGATGAACAGTCGAGTTAAAGGCCAAAGTTGTTCAGAGAAAGCGGATGATACCAAGATATATCTCTAATCTTCTCATTGAACATAACGCTTGCAACATAAACCTTGTATGTAAATTTTAAATCTACGGAGACATTCTGAGAGTCTGTAAGTATCATCAAAACTGATACAAAATGTATCATGTATGTCTGCCAGTTGAAAGATTACGATCCAAACAATTTTAAAAGCCTGTATCGAAAAATAAATGTAGAAAATGACTGGGGTATTTGCCCACTATACCTGCATGCCAAATTTCTTGACATTTGGCCAAAAATTAAGAGATTGAATCCAACTAACGAAATGACAGGAGTAGCCCGGAGGAGAAGAAACACGAGGGTAAAAAAATAGTGCACCTTTACAAGTGTTCACTGGCTTTAACAACTGTCTTGTATATTTCCTTAATATATGACAGGAGCATATATACATGTACAATGTATTAGAGTCTAACCTACAGTACCGCTCCCAACCGTATCGCGAAAAGTCAAGAAGGAGACGGTCAAATTGCAAAGTTCGCTCTTTTCGGGAATGGGAAATGGAGAAAGACTCGCAAAAAAGTTTTTTTAGCAAATGCGCGCCACGGGTACAAACCTTCTCTGGGCGGCAAAAGAACGTGTTAAAAATTCTACAAAACGCAGTATCAAAACTTCTCTCCAAACCGAGGTTTGGGTTATTTTTGGCGTGTTTTGAATTTTATGCTTTTTTTATCGGGGTTTCTTTTTTCTTGCACTGGAATGTTTTGGGGGGTGAAAACAAATTCCAGTGCAAAAAAAGAAACCCCGATAAAAAGCCTAAAAACACACCAAAAATAACTCCAAACCCAAACCTCTGCTTGGAGAGTATATCAAAACTCCCGCCCACCCACGCGACGTGACGTGGACCTATCAGCCGCGCGCGCGGAAATTTAAATTTCAGTTGAACGGCTTCAGTGAGCGCTGACAAGGTAGGTCTTCCACAAATTCCTCTTCTTGCGTCATATAGAAACATCGACTGATTATCTAACTATTCCTATCAGGTGGCAGACTATCCCAGGGTCATCCGAAGCTATAAATAAATAGACAGATCTTGAAATTAGCTCAGTCCAAAACCACTGTAGTCCAAAACGGCGACACACACGTCGGATTATGTAATACCAAGTAAGATAAACAAATCGTCAAAGGCAGCTATTTTTTGCCATTAAAATCATAGAAGTAATGTCACATAGGTGAATTCGACATGTTTGGTTGTAATTGGGTGTCCAGAACAACGCAACATTACTCTGGAACCGATGAAAATGCCTGCAGTGTAAAAATGTGGGGTGGAAGTAATACCTTACCGTAACGCCCCCCTCCCCCATTTTTTCAGTACGGAGGCATGATTTTCAAGTACTAGTAAACGTTATGTCGTTCAGACCAAGGACATATATGTATTTGCACAGTATTTGCTCCTTATTCAGACCATTTATACAGAGACTGCTTTTATCTTCTGAAGATCTCGGAAGATTATTAAACGGTTGCCCTGATGCGGTCCCATCAGCTGGGCGACGGCGCCATTTTCAAATTATGAAAAGTGGATTTTACAACCACAACGTAGAAAATTTATCTGGATCACAGCAGGTGTGTAACTGAACTCCGAGCAGGTTTCTTTAGGGGCAAGGCACAATAGTTGGCTTGCCCAGACGTTGTTGTTGATGTTGTCGTTTTAAAATTTTAATATTAACGTTTATGTTTATTCTTCTGTACATAGTGTTCATCATGTCCAGAAGAGGGAAACGACGACATCAGATTGACAGCAACATGAGCAATTCACCAAAAGCCAAAAGACAATTTCTTTATCATGAAAGCCCTATTCCTGCCCTTGTGTCAAAAGAGAAGTCAGAACCATTCAAGGATGAAAATATACACTCTAGATACATGTATGCCATCATTGAACCTACATGTATTTCTGTCAGACAGGCACATGTATTACTTAAGACGTGTCAAAGTATGCCTACAGGCATGGAAACTCCTAAATTTACTAGTAAGCAAATAAAGTCTGGAATCCAAAGAATGCTGAAGAAATTAGTCTCATACATCAGGGAAAAGGAAACTGTTCCAAACTTTTCGATATTTGGCAGTGAAGAAGAAGCATCTGTTCTAAAAAAGCACATCAGTAAAAAATTAGCAGGGCTTTCCTCGATGCAAAATTCTCTTGGGAGCTCGAGTGAGAGTTCTTGTGATGGAATGGACAACCAAGTTAGTCTGGCTTTGAGTCATGAAGATCACCAAGAATTACTAGATGTCAATGATATTGTTAGTCTCTTGGTTTGTGTTTACACACACATAAATGTCCTGAACCTCTACGCAGCAAACGAAGAACTTCCAGACTTTTACTGTAATCTCTTTACCATTGCAATTTGCAGCCAACTCCCAAAGATTTTAGCAACCACATCTCAAATATCAACCTCAAAGCGAGATACATCGGAAACAGAAGCCTCAAAGCAACAAACATCGGAAACAGAAGTCATGAGCTTGGAAGATATTGTTAACCTTGTATTCGAAGAAAATACCGCCCAGTTTTTAAATAATTATTTTGCTGACAAACTTAAAACTAAATATCACTTACCTTCCTCTGCTATGTCCCCCTTAAAAATAAAAGATAAACAGGAAAGCAGGAATGGAAATGAACAAAAGAAGATTACTCTCTATGTTTCCAGAAGAATATTTGAAACAAAGTGTAGATTAAAAGAGGTTCTTAACATTCTACAAACAGAATGGAATCATGAAAAGTTATTAAAGGAGCGAAAGAGGATACAGTCTATGGTTCTTGAGTCAAAATTCATAAAAAGTTTAATCTCCCTTCCATCCAAAAGTTTGCGTCAACGAAAGGAGGCAGTAGTTTTTGTTTTTCCCACTGAAAAGGACCTTCCTAGAACTGGTATGGCAAATCAAATTGATGGCACAATAGGGAAGGTATATGGCTACATGTGCAAGCTGTCCGGGTGGCATGTCTACTTCACATGGCCCCAGCATATAAGAGGTGAGATATTGATCTAGATGTAGCAAGTTGACAAATTGTAACAATTACCGGTACTACTAGTCATTTGTATTTACATACACATGTATATGCAATCTTCTCATGAGTCGGTATGATCTTTAGGTGGTTTCAGACCATTACATAAAAAATACTAGTAAGCCACAACAGGGCTTGAAACACTAATATTTGCTGAGTGAATGCTACAAGCTAGTACATGTATTTTTCTGCTATCATGGACATTGTAGCAGGTTTCAACTCATACACATTTAATTTTAAACCTGGAATTCAAACTTCAAAGCAGTTCCTTGGGTACTTTTAGCAACCAGTGCATAAAACTTTGAAGAAACTTTTGAAATTTGTTCTTGTACAGTATTGTTGTTTATTAGATGAAAGTGACTCCTTACGTGTACATGTATATTACAGGTGGAGACAGTCAAGTCACTGCTGATGAGTTGGCACAAGACCTGCAAAGGCTGCGTAAGCAACAGAAGCTAAAGAACCTTGTGGTCATCGCACTTCTGCATGGAGTCTCTGCCAACAAGATGTTAATCAAACCAGGAAATGTAGTGCCCATCAAGACCGTCACAACAGCCAATAACGACGGTATTCATCCACCATTGCTGCCCCCCAAATGGCCTGTGGACTTGTCAGATCACACCCGTTCATCTTTCGTAGAAGCCTGTGAGTCCGACATTGAACAGAAAGACATCCATGATCCTGAGACTGAAGTGCAAGTGACAGAACCCTCTGGTTGTTTCCTCACTACTAACCTCAGTTCTGCAAAACTCCATCGTCTCAAGAGACGAAAGGATGCCAACAAAAACCTCAGTTCTGCAAAAGAAGCGGGAGAGAAAGGATCGGAGAACACAGGAAGGCCTGAAGTTGCCGCACAAAGCCTGGCATTGTTCACAGCTTTAAGTTTAAAGAATGCCCCTGGGTGCAGCTGCCTTGGACTGATCATCGGGGTGACAAAGTCTCTGGAAGAAACTCAGCTGTCCCAAATAACCCTCCGCCACTTTGTTCGTATACTGTGCCTCAGTAACCTAAGCAAAGGTGTGTCTTGATCATTGATGACTTCTATGAACATTTATGAACTCAAGATTATGGTGTTTTCTCACCAGTTATTGCATTTTTAACCTTTGTCTAGATATGTTTTTGGTCAGGTTTGTTTAGATTTATGTTTCCACGTTTGGAGGAACAATTTTTGTGATTTACCCAGTAGCACGATAACTTAAGAAGCTATGTATTTAGTCCTTGGCCTATGAGTATGAAAGAAATTATTAGATTTTGGCAGCTTTCCTTGATACTGCAGCAGAACTTCCAGTTTTTATATATCGTCTTCTGGAGAGGCTTGTAATTACATGTTGTCAAACTTTCTATATGCTTCTTTTTGCATACCTGCATTATATTCTGAAAGCAGGACATACACATGTATATACTTAAGTCTTTTTAGACTTTACCCGAAGTAACTAGTCATGTACATGTACTATGTTACTATAATTTAGTATTAATATTATGATAATAGTATAGGCTCAGTCAAACAAGCAAGCCTGTTAACTTATCAAAGTTTGTTACTTTTTTCAGTTTTCTGCAATGCACAAGTGCTCCGTACATTACCAAGTACATGTACTCCAAGAGACAGACGCCAGCCACCTCCTCTGCCTCAAAGTCAGCCCAGCAACCCTGTAACTGAAGCTCCTGTGTTGAAGCGAAATGCACGATCACTCGGTGGGCCGATCCCATTTGCAGGTAAAGAACCTTACCATATCTAAATTGATAATTCGTTTGTTGGAAATAGCAAAAATAAGGAATAACAAATGGTTGTTAAAACTTGCAATCCTATGACTGAGTGTGCCTAATGATACTTCTCCAAAAATTGAAGAGATCTGTATAGAAGTGACCAAATAGCAAGAATTTTGGGGGTGCGGATGTTATACAAATAAAGCATATACATGTACCTGTAGCCCCCAACAAGTTGGCATTTGTGTCAATATTTCCTGAGTTTTGTATCTTCCAATGTGACAGGATTAGAAAAATGGGAAGAAATGCAAACCCTGCCCTATAGCAACAGCTTGGTAGTAACTTCCCAATTCACCGTATGTCAACTCCCAAGCTGCCACATACTCACTTCTAAAATGCATCACAAACTCACATATTCAGTGAAAATGGTAACAATCTGTATTTGTTTCAACTGTAATTGATGTACTAACTAAGAATTTTACCATATAGATAAAAATTTTGGCAGTATTTTGCTGAAAATCTTAATTGGGGGTACGGACGCTACAGGTAGGGGGTACGGACGCTACAGGGGTACGTACGCTACATTTTGCTATTCATGGTGCTGTACTGGGCAGACTGTTTATGACAGCAATGGTTTAAATGGTGTTTTGGTATGTGGCAATAGAGACCTTCTAGCCATCATTATCATTAACCTGCAGGATTAACTTGGTACAGAAATCAAGGGGGGGTACGGACGCTACAGATTTTTTCGGAAAATGACATCCTGGGCTTTAATCGCCAACTGTATGTTACAAGAATGACGGAATGATTCTGTTCTATTTCTGTACTTTTACACACATCATACCTTAATTTCAAAAGCCAAATCAACACCTATAGAAGCATATTTTAAAGTGTTACACACTTAGCAATATCCATACATAATTAGATTGAAAATTGGTAACATGTGGGTAAAAGTGGAATATAGCCTTGATTGAACCAAAAAAGGGGTAGTATCTTCAAATAAAAGAAAAAGATCACAAGGTGACATATGACTGCATGTAGAAAGCAAATAGTTTTTAATTAGGAAGTACAAAATGTACTTTCAAATCTAATGCTTAGAATTAGTAAAAATTCAATGTACCCCGGTAACGCTAAAAAACGCCCAATTTTAGACCACGTTTTGGTCAATATTTTTCCTAAATATTAACCGATTTTTAAACGTCTTTTTTTGTTGTGTTCCATCTTGCACCAGCTCTTTGGAAATAAAAGTCTAAAACAGTAATAACTTATGTAGATTTTGCTATCCACTGGTAACATGTTGGAAAAAAAATGGGTACACCTGATTGTGATACTGGCGATAAGATGTTTATATTACAGGTGAAGTAGCAGGAGACCAGGATCTAGGCTGCTTTCCAATGGAAGAAAATGAGGAGAAAGGTACAATTTTTGTTTCCTTAGTACAATGTTCAATTTTTATTATGTTATACCTACATGTAGATCTAATGCTAATGAAGAAAAAGTTTCAGTCATCTTAATGTTTGAGTTTTTTTAACTGGAATAGATAAAGAAGCATTGATCTAAAACTGCAGAAGAAATTCCTGAAAAGCAGTGTTTTTAAATAGCACTGAGGTCTCACCCTGTATAAATAAAACAGAAATAAAACTAGAAAGGCCGACATTTGCTTGGGAGCAAATACAGCATATTTCAGTCCATCTCCCTCCCACGCAAAAGTGGACTATTCCAAACTTACCCCACACGGTGGTAAAATCTGGGCTACAAAGTTCCCACATTTCATAGAATCTGAACTGTGTTCGATCTGGGCAATTCGAATCGAACCTGCGTTCCATTTCGGGGTCACCTGCGGTCATGTACAATAAAGCGGCAAAACAAGCCCTTCTGCCTGAGTGCCTCGCAACAGATAAAAAACAACACTTTTCTATAGATACAAACAGTTTCCTGGACAGTACATGTCCGCTACAATTTTTGGTGGGTATGTAACATGTAGCGAAGCTACTGTCGTATGCTTGGGTGATCTTGAATACAGTAATGATTCTTTACGCCTGTATGAATAACACAATGCACACTTTCTGGCCATATGACATGTCTGCAAAACTCGTTCAAACCTGGAAGCATGGAGAGTCAAACATACCCCATTTACGGCTCAAAATGACTGTCACAGTTGTCCCTAAAATCGTGTTTTAGGGATTTTTGAAAAATGGCCTCAATTTTGAATTATGGGTAATTTAGTGAGAAAAATGTAAAAAATTGCAATTTTTTCACCAATATGTTGACAAAAACTAGACAGTCAACGAAAAATATAAAAATCGAGGATCTGGGGTAATATACGTAGCCAGGTTTGAACGATGTTTTCCCAAAAACGTGACATGACTTGTGCTCGGAAACCCAAAAATAATCGTCTTTCTGAGCGAAATTTTTAAAAATCACTGATTTAACATAAAAAGCTAACATTTAAAGGATGTTAAGACGATAATTTCATTTTAATTTGACGAAATTTACCACTTAATATTATTTGTTTATTTTCAAATGTTTTACGGGTAGTCCAAAACAGGCCAAAATAGCGTCTTGTAACCCGATACTTTTTTAGAACGCGCCTAGCAATGGGAAAGAATGCCGTAGTGACAGACCGCCGTGCCTGTGTAAAACTGGCAAAGATTCTCAAATAAATGAATTATATAGTAGATATGTAATTGAGAACAAAGATGCAAGAACAAGCACATTGAATCTCGAAAGCTTTACTAATCTTATTACAGGTATGCAAATACTAACAATGATGAGATTTGATATTGTTGTCATTGCCAATAAAGAAAGAAAGATACATTTTGAAGGTCTTAGGCCATGTTGATTTGATTATATGGATGACATCCGCGCGCGCATGAATTTTCGGCCGTTTCCAAAAAAAAAAGTTTTCAACCATACTGTAAATCGTACAAAACAGTTGCAAAATGAGCAAAAATATACCATAAGTTACAAAAAAAATTAATAAAAACTATACCAATGTCATAGAATGCCAAAATCAAGCGAAAAAAGACGAAATTGTAAAGAAATGAACTTGAAGACTAGATTATTCGCCAAACCATATTCTGTGCCATTTGCTCAACCCTCATGACCACGTAGATTTCATAATGAAAAGAACTTTTTTTTTTTTGCTAAAACTTTTTTTTATTCGCACGCGCGCATCAGTTTTGGGGCTCCCGGAGGATGTCATCCATATAATCAAATCAACATGGCCTTAGGCACATAAAATTGAATGTGTGGGTCATTACGCACGACTTACGTGCAATGTGACCCCAGGTAACCCGCAATGGAACACGTGTTCCATGGCCAAAGGCAGATGGAACGGGCCATTCTTTAGATAGAACATGGAACGGGTATGGCGCTTTTGGCCCTTTTTTTTCTGAAAATAGCTATTAAAGTCCCCCAAATGAGTCATTTAGAAGTGGTGTATGCCAAATATGTGACTGCTATTCTGTAGACACATGTTCAAGGTATCCTTATACCGAATTTTAGATCATTTGGTTATAAAACCAGGGCTCAGGATCCAAAAAATCCATTTTTGGGCAAAAAATGCCCCAAAAAAACGTAAAAAAATTTTCAAAGGCATGTATCGAAAAAATGAAAAAAACGCCT